CCACAACATCCGATTGAATGGTCCGATATCGATGGGAGTGGTATTAAAATTTTATAGAGGTCCTGTGCTCTGCGTGGATTACAAAAGCGCCTACCTACGATTTTGCGTTTAAAAGTTATAACTGTCGAAAGCTTTGACTTTGTATTATCTTTGAAATCGAGAATTAAAGGTTTAGGAGAACATATCTGGCGAATTAGTTCAGATAGCGAAAAATTTCTTTCACCAACGGTTGACCCGTACCACCGCGAACAGAAGAATTTTAGTTTCAAATGAAAATAAGAGATAAAAATGATTGTAAATTTTAATCAACGTTGAATGCAACCGCAGTTATCCAACGACGTTCGCACTGAAACGGGAAATTCGTCTGTGAAAGAATTTTTCCGAACTTTCGAAAATCATTTTCATTAAAACGCTTATTACTTCTCGGCTCCCTGCCGAACTTATGTCACACAAATTTTAATATGACCGAACCACAGGAAAAACAACAAAATTTTTTGCTTTCGAATTTGAAAATTTATTAGTAAAGACCAGAACTTCATACATTTTCATCAAACTACATGTCTTCTAACGACGCCCTGCCCCACTTATATCACACAAATTTAAATTGGTTTTAACCACTACTATAAAGGGCGAAATTTGCACGTTATAATCAGAAGATTTGATAATAAAAGCCGGAAATTATGAATCATTTACTTTGCTGAAACGTATTTTCATCAAAACACATGTCTATTGACAATACCTCCCGCGGCTAAAATCAATTAGAAATTTGAATTGGTTTAAGATAGTGAAGCTAATGTACAAAACTAAACAATATTAAATGTCTTTAGAAAAAGTATTTGTGTATTTGTTTAATAATTATGATTGGAAAGCAGACTTCGTCTTGAAAGCTAATAAATCTCAACTTGCACATTTATAAAAATCAATGTAACAAATTGGCAAGTAAAAACCAGTTTTTTTAGTTTAATTTTTTACTTAAAGTTCGTTTTAATCATCGAGAAACAAATCTCAATTTATCAAAACATAAATCAAGTTATGATTCAATAAATACAAATTTAAAAAGCACATTTAACAAAATATAAAAAACTTACAAAAAAATTCCATCTATAATTTTCTCACAAAGGACTGTTACGAAGAACCATTTTAAGTAATTAGAAGATTAAAATGTTGGAATAAATGGAGTTGTTAGATACGATTTGCGGAATGTATCTGATCTGGCAGCTGAGTCATTCAGTAGTATCTAATAAAAAAGAACGGAAGATTACAAAACAAAGGAATGAACATTTGTTAATTAAACAAACATACTTCAAGAGTATCAATTATTTCTAAGCCCTTTTGGTTTGCTTTTAAAAATTAATTGTTTACTTCTATATCATACGAGTCCTTGAATTTTTAAAGACTCATCTAAATAAAAAGAAGGAAAGATACAATCGCAGATATAATTTCATTTATACTAAATTACTGTACTAAATTTTAATTTTCTGTATCTTTAGTTGTTCTTAAATACAACGCTTTCTTTATAATCTTGTTTTAAAAAAAAAATAAAACACTTTTCTAAATGGAGTAAATAAAAGTGTAATGATGGCAACAAGTGTTAAATACTCGTAATAAACAAAATAAAATAATTTACCTTAACATCACAAGCCCAAATTTTATAATTCAGCCATTTCTACTTAAAACGTTTACACCAAGCGAAACTACAACACTCGTAATCGCATGTCACGATATAACATTCTCAAATTTAAGTCAAAAAGTAGATAAATAATAAGAATAATGTAGACAAATAAGAAGTTATCATTTACATCATGTGACTAACCTGCGCCATACCCAAATGGAAATGTTTTGAAAGTTAAAAGCATATACAGGGCTTGAATTTTTAACGTAAATACTGAAAAAAATAATTGAAACTTTTCATTTAACCATTTTACAAATCTCTAAGGGAAGGGCTTCTAATTTATCAACTTTTTAAGTAAATTTTAATGTTTTCTCCGTGTATTCTGCTGAATTGCAGCTTTTCATATTTCATTAACATTGTGATCTTAACACGGAATGTTAAAAAAAAATTAACGTAATATGTAAGAACTGCAATAATTAGTAAATGAACATCAAGAAAATTAGATACTATAAATAGTTCAGTAATATATTTATGTAAAGTAAAAATCGCGAACCATATACCTACATAACATTTTGTAAATCATAAAAAGAAAAACTTTATTTATTTTTACTTACTTTCTTATGTGACTCGCTTCATTATTGGGTAATTATCCTATGAGGTTTTCCTTTTAAAATAGAAATGTGCCATTTGATTCGATCACCAATCGTAAAACCGATTAATAAATCACAAAATAATTAGAAAGACACGATCCTTATCACTTCATCAGTTATCATTATCAACTTTGTGCCGTTCTAAACCATGAAAATGATGCCCTTGATGTTTGGTTCATTTTATATCAGGAATGTACACTTTGCTAACACCTGATAATATTACAAGAGCGCAAGGGAAATAAAAGCACTACCAAAAGCGGGAGCTTAATTACTTCTGACAGTGGTCGTTTGCGCGGATCTGTCCATCTGGTCATAAGCAGATGATCACGCCCCTTTTGTTTTTAATACGTCTCTCATCGTTATCGTTTTAGGAGACTTTTTATATGTATATTACGTATTATTAATTATGTATATAATATAATATATATAAACGCACCGCAATAAAATATTGTCCTTAATACAAAACTCCCATTTCAATTTTAATTAAAATGTTTACCAATTAAAAATTACTGTTACAAGAAATTTGTACAGATAACAAATTAGGTGAAGAAGTTGTAGTATTAATTATTAACGTATAATCATAATCATGACATCTAATTGGAAACATACAACTCAACTTTAAATTTATTGCTTATTACCCTTCCTGAAGACATTCATAACTTTGCGAATAGAATTAATTAAATGTTAAAAACCATTCTGTAGATACTGCAGACTATTACGAACTAAACTGGTCACGAATTTTTCTGATCAGCCAAACCGAAAAATAACGTACATTTCAATATACATGTACAGTGGCGGACTAAGGCTAAAACGGGCCCGGGCCTATTTTTCAGTCATAACACTGGCCTAATGTGGATCTTAAAAAAAAATGTATTCTGGCAATTACTGAGAATGATCTTCACCGCTACTATTGCTTATTGGAAGAGTTAAATAAATTCTCAGAAATATGGTTAAATTAGGGAATGTTCCAATAATACTATTTTCCTAAATAAATGACCACATGGATACATGTGAAATAATATTTTCTTTACTTATAAAAGTCTTAAATTGTAAAGTTCATTTTTTAGTTCAGCTAGGTTTAAATCTTGTTCATCACATTTTAATTCCTCTATTGAAGAGTCAGTATCATTAAAATTTTGTTTTGAATTTATTGCTAATAGATTTATATCCCTCAGATCTTTTTTTAATTATCTTCGTAGAACATCCTTCAAACGAGATAAGTCGTCACGTCATAAAAAAGTCTGAAGAAATAACAACACGAAAATAAGTATACAATATGAATGAGTATAAAGCAGATGGTATCATAACTGTCCCCTTACCCCGCTAACACTTTGAAGAATAAACGACAAACAATCGTCACAGCAGACAATGATTTACAAAAATATTTCGACCATTACATTCAAATGGACTCATCATTATTTTATAATATTCATTTTTACTGCGTTAATTTTACGTAAAAGTTAAAGTTAAATGTTGTTCTTTAATTTTATAGCATATATGAATAAAAATAAATGAAAATTTATAAACGTAAACTCAAAAAATTGCTGTCACTAACTCATTTACATTTCACTATCCAATTGTAATGCTGAAAGAAAAGCTGCACAGCACCTGTACAAAAAATCTGATTAATTAAAAAAGCGCATCTACTTTTTCGCCACTTTAAAGCAATATTTTGAAAAGTTTAAAGTATGTGAAATATGTAAAAAAGTACGTAGAATCGTGTGGTGCCAATAGATTTTAGGTTCCACTGGAAGTTAAAACGGTACGACATTTGCGTTGATAAAATTATATAAAAATGTCCAACATAAAAAAGCGCATCTACTTTTTCGCCACTTTAAAGCAATATTTTGAAAAGTTTAAAGTATGTGAAATATGTAATGAGGTACATAGAATCTCGGGGTGCCAAAAGATTTTAGATTTGACCTGAACTTAAAACGGTACGACGTGTGCGTTAATAAAAATTATATGAAAATGTCCAACATAAAAAAGCGCACCTAAATTTTCGCCAGTTTAAAACAATGTTTTGAAAAGTTTAAAGCATGTGAAATACGTAAAAAAGTACGTAGAATCTTGTGGTGCCAATAGATTTTAGGTTCCACTTGAAGTTAAAACGGTACGACATTTGCGTTGATGAAATTATATAAAAATGTCTAGCATAAAAAAGCGCACCTAAATTTTCGCCAATTTAGAGCAATATTTTGAAAAGTTAAAAGCATGTAAAATATGTGAAAAGGTACGTAGAATCTTGTGGTGCCAAAAGATTTCAGATTCAACATGTAGTTAAAACGGTACGACGAATGCGCTGATAAAATTACATAAAAATGTCCAACATAAAAAAGCGCACCTACTTTTTCGCCACAGAAAAGCATTAGTGTGAAAACTTTAAAAGAAGTAAAAGATGTAAAAAAGTACGTAGAATCTTGTGGTGCCAATAGATTTTAGGTTCGACTTGAAGTTAGAACGATACAACGTGTGCGCTAATAAAATTATATGAAAATGTCCAACATAAGAAAGCGAACCTAGATTTTCGCCACCTTAAAGCATAATTTTCAAAACCTTTTTTCTTTATTTTAAATATATATTTCTAAAACACTGCATACGAAAAAAGTGTAAGTATTAATTAGTACTTCAGTTTCTAAAGTACAATTACGATAGTTCAGCAAAAGCTGACGCGTTGTAGGAGATATGTATTTTCTATGGTTAATATACGGTGTTTACTTATCTATGGTGTTTACAAAAGAATCAAATACAAATTGCTGTTATTTATGTAAAGGTGCATTATTTTTTAAAAATTACCTAAACTAATGGCTAAACTAAGTGATGGTGATATTTATGGTACCACATTTTCAATCGAATCAATGAAAATTATAGCAGAAAGCATAGGTATAAGTAATTTGCCTGATGATGCTGCAAAAGAATTGGCTGACGAAGTATCGTACAGAATCAAGCATATTATACAAGATGCTGCTAAAATTATGAATCACTCAAAACGGATTAAATTGGTGCCTAGCGATGTTGATGCTGCTTTAAAAATGAAGAACATAGAGGTGCTTTTTAGCAATTTTTTTCAAATTCACTGTAACCTAACCTATTTTTCAGCCACAATATGGATTTCATTCTGCTGACCCCTTACCGTTTAGATTTGCATCTGGAGGAGGTCGAGAGCTTCATTTTATCGAAGAAAAAGAAGTGGATTTGAATGACCTTATACAAAACTTGAATCCTAAGGCACCCTTAGACGTAACTTTGAGGGCCCATTGGCTGTGTATAGATGGAGTGCAGCCAACTATTCCAGAAAATCCACCTCCTGTAGCAAAGGAAATGCAGAAGGTAAGTTAATTATGTGAAGAAATTAACTTTTCTTATGGATTGTTGCTTGCTTGCAGTTAGAATCAGTTGACCCAATTAATAAAATGAATAAACCTAATAAAGAGACATCTGGAAAACCAACTACGGGTAAACAAAAGCTACGCAATGTAGAAACAGTTCAAATAAAGCAGCTAGCGACACATGAATTATCTGTTGAGCAGCAACTTTATTATAAAGAAATTACAGAAGCTTGTGTTGGTTCAGATGAAGCACGAAGAGCTGTGAGTAAACCTAAAGAGTTTTGGTCTGCTTTTTGCAATATGTATTCCTGCTTTGCAGGAAGCACTACAAAGTTTAGCCTCAGATCCTGGTTTACATGAAATGCTGCCAAGGATGTGTACTTTTATAATTGAGGGCGTTCGAGTTAATGTTGTTCAAAACAATCTTGCTTTGTTAATTTACTTGATGAGAATGGTCAAAGCTCTTTTGGATAATCAATCATTGTTTCTGGAAAAATATGTAAGATTTTTGTTGCTCTAAAGTTTAATTAATTCGATGACTATTTACTTATTTGTGTATTTAGTTGCATGAATTAATTCCGGCTGTAACCACATGTATTGTTTCCAAACAACTGTGTATGAGACCAGAACTGGATAACCACTGGGCTCTGAGAGATTTTGCTTCTCGTTTAATGGCACAAATTTGTAAAAATTTCAACACTAGTACCAACAATATTCAAACCAGAGTTACACGAATGTTTACTAATGCTTTACATCAGGGTGACAAACTTCCCCTTTCCTCTTTGTATGGTGCCATTGAAGGTTTATCAGAATTGGGAACTGAGGTCATCAAGACTTTTATTTTACCTCACATAAAGTCAATAGGTAGGTATATTTTTTAATATAATTCTTGATTTTAGGGTATACACTTATATACACAGTTTTGTTTATTTACTTTACTTATTTAATCAGTTAATTTACACTTACAACAGAAACATTGCTAATATTGTTTGTTTCATATTTCAGGTGCTCGGATAGAAAATCACCTGGAGGGTACCATGGTTTCAAATTTAGATAAAATAGCATCATCTCATGTTAAGCAATTGATTGTAAAAGTGGTCACTCCTATAATCAAGACGTTAAAGAATCCTCCTGACCAATTCGACGATTTTAAAGCAGAATATGGTTATTTAGGATTTTCCTTATATTATTCTGTGGTCAAAGCGCGAACTCAGCCTACTCCAACAACCACTCCATCATCCTCCAATATGACAGCTTCATGTATCACCTCTGTGGGCGCGAACATTTCCAGAAGCATCCCTCAAACTCCAACAATTATTCAGCAGGTAATAATGAAGAATAATTCTAAAGCATTTAGGGATATACTGTGTTCAATATATCCTAATAATCAACATCTTTATATACAGTACCATATTGACACTAATATTGTAACATTAAAGTGATAAAACTTTTTTCATTGCCGCGTCTTCTGGAACATTCACTTACCTCATAATTATTTGATATTTTATGCTTTTACTACAGTATAAATATCGTAATAGATTACAGATAAAACTTTGAAAAAGAAAGAAATTTATAACTTTTTCAATAATTGCACAAAAGGTTTTAAATTAAATTTATTTTCCTTTTCTTCAGCAAACTTCAACACCCAGTCGAACAATCGTTATGAATCAAAGTGGTAGAGTGACAACTCCAACAACCAGTCAAAAAATAGTATTTGTTACCCAACGGTCTCAGACGCAGGTCAATCAACAGCCAACCCAACAGCCCCAACTGCAGGGGTCTCAGAACACTGTAGTGAAAATAATGTCTAACACAAACTCCAACAACCAAGCCCAAAAGATTGTAACTGGCCAACAAAAGCTTGTTGTAGTTGGAATGCCAAATTCTTCGTCTTCTGCTTCAGCCAACGTGCATACTGTAAACACCCAAAGTGGACCAGGAATTCAAGGGACGACACCTAATTCTAGTGGGGGTGTGACTACCACGGTGAATCAAAATAATGTAATAAATCAGTCAGGACAACCACCGTATTCTTTAGTTCAAAAGTCTGTATTTGTACAGCAACCGCAGCCACAGCAACAACAACAACAGAAGCCTAAAGAACAACCCCCTCAAGTTGACGATTTATCCCATCTAGTGTAATATGAAAGTGTAAAAGCTTTTGAAACCCTTAAAATTTGCTACAATGTAGTAATTATCCACAAGATTGTAAATACATAAGTTATTTTTCTTATTGTAATTGACTTTGATAAAGTTAGATGATAGTTGCATAAAGGTATCCTTTATTCATTGGGCTTAAAATAATAAAATGTCCATTTTAATAACTAAATAAATGCATTTTACCTTTTGTTTATTATTTCTTTTCCACAGTCTCCATTTTCTACTAAGTACACATGTGCTTTATTACGTTATAGATTAGATTTTTTTAAGTATTTAAACAAAAAGGTACAGTCCTAATTTAGGGTCGTATTTATTTAAAAGATTCTACAAATCACTGGAAGATCAAACATACTTTACTGTAAAAATATAGATTATCTGTACTTTTTATTAATAGAACGCAGGCAAGTATACACAGCCTCTTTAATCATCGAATTGATTAAAAGTTATGACGAAAATAACAAACTAAATATAATTATTGATATTAAAAAGAAAAACAAAGATGATGTCTATAACTAATTAACAAAATTACACGCCTAATAAAAAAATAATATTACGAATTAAAAGCTCATATCTTTTATGACCTACTTTGTACAAAAATGTTAAGAAAAATAGAGCGCTTCGCGAACTGTTTTTTTTTCTAAACATTTTCACGTGTAAGGTACAAGTCCGCAGAATAGTTTAATTAAAAAAAAAATGGTCTACTTTTAGTTTCTAATACGAAGTACGAGCTGCCACGATATTCTTACAAATTAATTATCGATAATATAATATGTACAATTTCTTAAGTACTAATTTTAAAATACATATTAAAACTATATTAATTAACTTGCAATACTCTTCTGTACAATTCTTTGGATTCAATAAAAACTATTTTATTCATTATTCACTTAATTTACTGCTTTTTAAGGCATCTTCGAGAATCAGTGAAATATAAATGAATATTATTTAAAAAGACGAGAAAGAAAGCAATTACATTCATTGCCCTTATTAGTAATTAAAAAAAAAACGTTTCATTTGTAGAAGTTTACAAAAAGTCGATACCCTGTAGGCCTTTAAAAATATTATTTTTGATTGTCTTGTATTAAACAAAAGGAAATAAAATCACGAAATAGCACAGCAAAAATGACTTTTATCAATTCTGCATTGTAAAAAGTAATCAGTGCCTTTTTTTGCTTACTTACCTCGCAATTTTATTCTGGAACACCAAACTTTTGTTCGTAATTAACTTTAGCGATCTGTTTAAGTTGTTCTGTTGTAGATTTTCCAGTTTCCGCGACCATTTTGGAAAAAACACTCTTGGAATTTTGCAAAAGAATGTAGGGGTGATTAAATTCGACCATGGTGCCGTTATCCATAACTAAAACTTTATCAGAATCCATGATCGTGTTAAGACGATGTGCCACCGTCAAGACCGTACAATCGGCAAACTTTTGGCGTATGGTTTTTTGAATTAATGCATCAGTTCTGTAAACAAAAAAGTTTTGCTTTAATTATTTATCGACTAATATACTATTAAAACAACTAACTGTGGGTCAACATTTGCTGTAGCTTCATCTAACATTAGTATTTTGTTATTTCGAACAATTGCTCGTGCAAGGCAAATAAGTTGTCGTTGTCCCACACTGTAGTTTGCTCCTCTATCCATTACTCTGTTTTCCAATCTGTTGATGATATTCATGGGGTCCTTCAATTCCACCTAAATAAATATTTTTTAGTTTATTAACTCCCATAAAATGTTTTTAATATTTACATCGTTTAGAGCTTTGTATAATAAATCGTCTGGGAACTCTTCAAACGGATCCAAATTGTATCTGAGGGTACCAGAGAATAAGACAGGGTCCTGAGGAATGATTGCTATTTTCGATCTCAGTTCTTGTAAAATGACGTTTTTCGTATCGATGGCATCAATTTCTATTTCACCCTCCACTTTTGCTAATCGGAATAGAGCGGCTATCAAGGAGGATTTTCCTGCACCTGTTCTTCCCACGATTCCAATCTAGGTATCAAGAAAGAAGTATAGTACATAAATTATTTAACTTCAAGATTCGAATTAGGTACCTTTTCTTTTGGCTGAATGGAGATATTAAGATTTTTAAGTACCAATGGACCTGTTTCTACATATTTAAGTCCCATGTTTTTGAAATTTATTTTCCCATTTTGTGGCCATTCCTTGGGCGGTTTTATAGGCTTTTCCGGTTGTTTTTCTGGAGGAATTATTGTGTATTCCAACATCCTTTCGACGGACATTAACATATTTGCCACTTCTGCAGACTGTCTCATCCCCCACTGAACAATCCCAGTAAGGGAGGTTGTTTGAGTTATTGCAAGACCTACTTGGCCCCCCAGAAGTGCTAAAAGAGTACAGTGATTTGAAATTTACGTCCTTAATACTTATAATACTTCCATTAATGGATTGATTAATAATAGCAATGTCTTACTTTCTCCAAAAGTCAGAAAACTGAGGGTTACCAATGTTGTAAATGCGGTGCAAAACAAATCGAGAATGAAACCAAAAGCCGAGCTGACTGCAATGTACATGAACCATGCGCTTGTGTGTAGATCTTGGTGTTTATCAAACTCCTCCTTCAAAATTGTTTGAGCCCCATATGCTCTTATCGTGGTTAGTCCTTGAAGGGTGGCATTGAGATGTGTGAATACTGGACTGCGCGCTAAAAATATCAATTACATTAATGATAGAATTTAACGGATTAAACATGGACAATAACGAAAAATAATAATCTGATTTTAATTGAAAATTGCGTATGAACTTACTTATTCCTTCTAAACGTTTGATATTTTTGGACGATTTCAAAAAAATTGACCTCAAAATCATAAAAATAACGCCAATAATAGCAACAGGAATGAGGAATAAAGGGTTAACAACTGCTACCAGAATTAAGGAACCAGCCATTATTAACAAAATCTGTAAAACGAAATAAACATTCAAAATAAGAAGAAAAATAAAAAAAAATGTTCAGAACAAAAATATTCTAATTTAAGAACTCCACGAACAAAATTACCTGAGATGAATCAAGGATGCATTTCGGTAATAGTTCATCGGCACTCCCAATGTCCTTTGAAAATCGATTTAATATCCTTCCACTAGGATTCGTATCAAAAAATCGCATACTCGCATACACCACACCATCAAACATGGCATGATGAAGATTGGTGCAACTGTTCATAACTAATTTGTAAAACGAGAAGGATCTTACAAGTGCTATCAATAACAAACTGATTATCAGACTGCCGTAAATGTACAAGCAAGTAGACGTTGGAAGTTCTCTTAAGTTGACATTTGCAGAAATTGTAGAATTCCTGTATTCTTCGATATTGGTCCAGTAACTGACGAACCAGTCGACGCCACTGGCTGCCCCTTGGGCTAAAATAAAGAGGGCTATGACGCAGCTAACGGCAAAAACGTTTCCCCCTGCTAACATATATCTAAACAGGAGAGACCCCTTAATTTTGCCCTTTGATGATTCTTCATGTTGCTCTTTCAGTCCGAAATCTTTGGTTTCGGTTTCTTCTTCGTTTTCCTCCTGCAGAATAACGTCCACGATGCTAATTTCACTTCTTGTGCTTGCAATAGACGATGTTCTACTCTGGGATATAGAAAGAAACAAAAAATTATTTACCATATATTTAATATTT